AGTAAGAGTCGTTGCCGTAGTGTTTTGAGACAGAAGCCTAACAGCAAAGTACTTGTGGACAGTAAGGTAGTTGTGGCAAAATTGATGGATCCCTTCTGAACATGAGTGACACTGGGCACTCCCTGTGTTACTCACCATGGGAGATACCAGCTGCTCCCTCCTACAAACACGCTACTGCAAGCAATAATAAATATGCCGTGGAATCTCAGGGTGCTTCTTCCAGATGGCAGCTCCTCAAGGCAATGGTAGCACCAGAATAGAAAGTGGAACAGGAAGTATCAAGGAGAGATATGGTCAAAAGCATGTGTGTTTCTTGCTACTGCTGCTAGCATTGCACCAAAGATGCTGTGCTGCCCATGCTGGTCCTGATCCTGCTAGCTTGTTTGGATCACAACTGATCTGTGCATGGATCGTCAGTACAGGATTCAGGTATGTGCATGTGCTGCAAGGAGTAGGCATTGTCTGCAAATGTGCTCAGAATGTATTCACACCAGTGCTTAAAACACTTTAACTCCCACTGTGTTTACATGTGTGATGAGCTTTTTAAATGAAAAAAACAGAAAAAGATACAAGCTGCTTTCCTTTAGACTAACATCTAAGGCTTCTGGGTGCTAAATTAGTCGAGAACGAGAGAGGGCTGTGAAGTCAAATCACTCAAGATTAAATAATTGTACAGAATCAGAAGAAAAAAATTGCACAGGCTTCCTGCCACCCATCCCCAGCTTCTGTCTTTAAATAGTGAACACAAGGCCTATAGGCTGGCTGAAATGATCCTTAACTGCAGAACACTGAATAGAATGAATATAGTTGGAATTTGGAGTGGGGAGAGATAGAATTAGGCAATCGGTATGAGCTGGTTAAAGGGGTGGGGGGTGGGGAAGAGTTCTACGTAGGGGGGAAAATATTTAGACATTCTTCAGAAATAAACCACGAAACCCAGAAACACTTATTTTTAACCTGGCTGGTGCAGTGTAAATACAGAACGGAAGAGGGGCTGCCCTCCAAAACCAGGGATTATGGGTTCATGCTCCAGCTCGGGCAACCTTTTTATTTTTAAAAATTAGCAAATTGGAGATTATCCAGGAAAAGGTTTGACCCACAAAATATGCATGCAGCAAATGTTCTGCGACAAGTGAGCACTGGCAGCAGAGCAAACGAGATCAAAGAAAAGGAAGTGTATTTTGTTGGGAAAGGGAGGAAGGAGCAAGTAATGAGAATTTGGATGGAAGAGTAACAAAGGAGAAGGGGGGGTGGGACTGGCATGGTAAGTCAGTGTACACTTTCACTCCTGGTCTGACGTCAATCCTGGCCCTTCCTTGGAGTGGTGGATGATGAGTTTGGTGGGGGTTCCCCCCCCCACACCACCAAAAAATGGCAGAGAAATATATGTATAGCAGCTGGGGAAGTGGCAGCCGAAAGTCTTGCCTGAACAACATAGGAAGGCAGGTCCTATAAGTGGCAGAAGCTTACAGATCTTACTGCATTTTCTACTGTTTAATCTTTCTGCATCCCAACGCCCCATGACATTTCTTAAAGTCTCTAAAAGAGGGAATAATAAACAGGGAGCAATAAAGAATGGAACAGTCTGCAAAATGAAAGGAAAGGAAAGGGTGTTTCTCTGTTCCCATCAGCACTGCCTATCAATAATAATAATAACAACAATTTTATTATTTATACCTCACCCATCTGGGTTTCCCCAGCCACTCTGGGCGGCTTACAACAGATCTAAAAACATAATAAAAACATCAATTCTTAAAAGCTTCCCTAAAGAGGGCTGCCTTCAGGTGTCTTCTAAAAGTCAGATAGTTGTTTATTTCCTTGGCACCTGAAGGGAGGGCATTCCACAGGGAGGGCGCCAGTACCGAGAAGGCCCTCTGCAGTTCCACCTCATTCTTTTGAATCCCCGTCGGGAATACAAAGCCTGATACCGTCAGCAGGAAGTCACCTCCAAAGCCTTGAGATTGCCAGCAATGAGGAAAATGTGAACAACTTTGGATTCAGGCAGAGCAGCATCGCTCAGATGTCGCCCCCCCTCCCCCAGGTGCACCCCCATCCCTTGAAAATGTCAGATGAGGTTCACCAGCCTTGAAAGAAACGGCGGATTTCACAGCGGATACTTCAGGCTACACACTGAAGAGCATTTTGAAGACTTCAAGGCATTCCTTATCCATCTCACTTTAGTCCTGGGGATTATGGGAACTGAGTTCTCTGTGACTGATACAATAGTTTGCCAGAGGGGGTCACAGAAGCTCACAATTATTAGTTTGGCCATCCGTGCTGCAGATTCTGCCCTCCCCTTCAAATGTACAAAGAGGCACTAATACAATAGCACAGCACAAGTGATTATATGGGCACAGAGAAGAGGTTATTGGAGCCCCTCTTTGGTTTGCAGGGGCATTGTGGGATTGGCTGTCAAAACATTACAAGCTCTTCCTGCTCTCAGCATGTCTAGAAATCTGTTTATTGCAGACCGCTGCACTTTAATTAATTACAGGGGGCATAATGTGGATCCTGGTTCTTAAAAGAGTTAGACATTACTGTTCCTCCAGGCAAGGATCTCAGTAATTATTGTGTCAGGCAGGGTACTACTGGTAAGGAGGGAAACTGCAGGCTGATACAGTAGGTGAGCCAGGGACATTGCATAAGACAAGGGAAGCAATTAAAGGGGCAACATTCTCCACGTCAACACGACAGAGAGCCGTTTTGCTGTTGCATATCTGTGTACATCAGAAATGGAAGCAAAGGAAAGCCATCTCTGGAAGGTGGGCAAGGAAACTGGAAACGGGGAGAAACCACGCACGGCATGGGTAAGCTTCTCAGGAAGGAGTTAGGTGAACCTGGTGGGCCTCAAAGTACAGTGGGATATTTTGTGCCGTCCAGCAGGGATGGGGAACCTGCAGCCCTCCAGATGTTGATGGGCTCGTCTGGCATGGCCAGGGGTAATGGGAGTTGTAGTTCAGCAACAGGTGAGAGACTACAGGTCTCCCACCTTCACTGTGCAGCTGTCTTGCATCATTGTGTAGCACCTGAAGCCAATACTCCTTCCCCTGGAATTTTGTCCAAAGGGACCTGTGTAGAACATCTAACAAGTTCTAGCATAGCCTAAGCCATTCAGAATGAAGCTCTTTGGTTCCAGGAGACTTTACAACAGAGGGAGAGAGTAGTATAGCAGGCATCTGCTGGGCTGATTCCCCCTCCCCCCATTCACCCTTTCGCTGGAACCAGATTACTAAGCCCCTCTGCCTCTTATTCATCTGCAGATGGTGCAGATTTGACCATCACACATCTGTTTATGCTTTTACAGTGCATTAGAGCCCAGGGAGCAAAGCAGAGAGAAAAAAAGGAAGGGCAATGTGGAGACTAAGGCTAGGAGGATAAAAAAAGGGGGGAGAAGGATGAGAACAAGAGAACGGTAGAGTGATGTCCCATATGGCATTAACCAAATGAAACCAATTACTAAACTTCTAACACAGTTGTGGGGAGCTTTTGGCTCTCCAGATGTTGTGGAACTACAGCTCCCATCATTCCTGGTCTCCGGCCATGTTTGCAAGGGCTGATGGGAGTTGTAGTTCAGCAACATCTGCAGGGCCAAAGGTTCTCCGCACCTGTTCTAAGAAATCTCTGTTCTCTGGAAAGGCAATAAATGGCCAGGATGGCTAAAGATCAGGGATAATAGAAGGTTTACTCCAGGAGAGCTGAAGGTCTGCCACACCTGCTATATACTTTCTTAAAAAGTTCTAGGAACTGCCTACCGTCAAAGAGATAGAACAGAACCCTCTTGAGCTGTTAAGACTGTCCTTGGGAGCTTTCTGGAAGATTGATGCTGCTGCTGTTGCCCTTTTCCGTGGAAAAGAGCACTTTTAAAGGGCAAACCACAGCCCAATGCTTGGAATTTGCTGTTCCCCTTTCTTTAATTGTATTCCTTTGTTCATCCTCATTCCGCATCAACGCATCATCACCAATGTCAGTATTCCAACTTAAGTGGAAGAGTCAGTTTTCTTTCCATACCCCACAAGGCCATTAGTATATAAATAACCTACAGATGACTACAGTCAGGTGGACCCAAGTCTGGAATACCAACTTATCTCAAAGAACATGGCTGTCACTTTTGTGCTGTTGCTGCCCAACATTGCCGCTTTTTTGTCTTAGTAAAGAGGTTTAAGTCAACCAGCTCGATTCATCATTCCTGACTAAGGTCCACCAGGGGATCTTTACGCTGAGCGCTGCTGGCATCTGTGGAAGAGTTTCAAATTCTGTCACACTGACAAGGAAGAGAAGTCACCCAGGATTCGGAAACAAAAACAAAAAACCCGATGTCACTTCTATCTGCAACTCGGACTGATATCTAGCTATTTGGAATGCTGGCAAGATTCAGAGCTCAGTGGTTGGGGCTGTAGCTCAGCAGTATAGGATCTGCTTTGGATTTACAAAGTTCCAGGTACAATCACCAGAATTTCCAGGTAGAGCTGGGAGTGCCCTTTGTCCGAAACCCTAGAGAGCCACTGTCAGCCAGTATGGACAATCCTGAGCAGGATGGACCAGTGGTCTCAGTATAAGGCAGCTTCCAATGATCCAACTTTCGCTGGCCAGGTTTAATTCAAACCTCCTTTGGGGAAGGTTCTCAGGCAAGGTGGAAGGAGAAAGAACTTGCCCATGTGAAGACCACCTGGTGGAAACCCTTACACATATGGTTCTTAACTGTAAACTATATGCTGATCTCCGTCAGCAATTTCTAGATCAACTCTGTATCCCCAAATGGAAACCAGAGTTGGAGGTGATACATTTTCTATTACTGGGGAATGATCAGGAGCTCACCAGGTTAGTGGCTAAATATCTCTATTTGGTTTTTTGTTGTCAAAATACACTGCAGACATCTGACCTCCCTGGAGACCTAGAATGTGACAACAGACTGCTTTGCCTCCTTTCTTTTAGCAAATGTTTTGTGCCACAGGGGAAGTGGTAATTCTGTATTGATTTGTTTTGGATGTTTTGTATTAATATGCTGGAGAGCTCGGTTGGTAGTGCATGAGACTCTTAATCTCAGGAACATGGGTTCAAGCCCCATGTTGGGCAAAGGATTCCTGCATTGCAGGGAGTGGGACTGATGGCCCTCGCGGTCCTTTCCAATGCTACAATTCTATGGTTCTATGATCCTAGCACACCACTTTTTCCTCAATGTGACAAAGTAGGAATGATATCAACTTCTAGTTGTGGGGATGGCAGAAGCTTGAGAGCTTCACTGACTCGTCCTTAGCTGAGCTCCAGCCTTCTTGTTGTGTTGCCCACTGAATTCTTGGGAACTCAGCAGCTTGCATTTTCCCACTAAGAGCCAAAGTTTGCATGACACCACAGTACATCTGCGTTTACCAGACCCACAGCCCCAATGGGAGGGAGCTGTGGCTGATCTCACCTTCTGAGGTGCAGGCCTAGAAGATATATGCAGGCAAAAAGACACACTTGCCATGTGCAGATGCTAGTTTTGGGAGTATGTGTAAAAAGGGTAGTGCTTCCAATCCCAGCGCTTACTATATAAATCCCTGGCATTATATCCAATGTGACTTGAGCAATTCAGGTCCCCTTTGATCTTACATCCCTTGTGATGGGTCAGTGGGAAGCATATGATTTTCTAAAATGGCCACTGGGCATCTTCTCCTTCCATTATGTCGTCAAACTAATGGTAGCAGCCATCTGCCCCTGTGAAGCTAGATGGATGGAAAGAACATGTTCTCTTTTAATATTTAACTACTTCAAGCCATTGGGATCACCCTAAACCAATGTTCCATGAGTGTAAGTGTTTTGGCTTGCCCAGTGGAACAAACTCCCCTCTGCTCCTCCCATGCACTGTTCTGGAGGGTTCTACAGATCCCCCCAAACCTATTTGGTTGGGGGTATGCAGAGAGAGAAGAGGGGGGGAAGCCCCTTTGCACTAGCAGGAGTTCTTGAACTGGGTCCCAGTTGCACAACTACTTAGTTGAATCCAGCCCATCATATTCAGGAATCCTACATAATTTCCATAATTTGTGTTGTTTGCGGACAGGGTTAATCTTTAGAAGAATGCCAGAAAGTACTAATACCTGAAGGAGAACAATAACAACAAGAAAAAGCACCTGAGCAGCTGAGAGCCAGTATGGTGTAGTGGTTAAGAGCGGTAGACTCGTAATCTGGTGACCCGGGTTCGCGTCTCCGCTCCTCCACATGCAGCTGCTGGGTGACCTTGGGCTAGTCACACTTCTCTGAAGTCTCTCAGCCCCACTCACCTCACAGAGTGTTTGTTGTGGGGGAGGAAGGGAAAGAAGATGGTTAGCCGTTCTGAGACTCCTTAGGGTAGTGATAAAGCGAAATATCAAATCCAAACTCCTCTTCCTCTAGGAATCACAGCTCTGCTCTGCAGTCTCCAAGCCCAACTGTGAAAGGCTCAGACTCTTGCAACCAACTATTTGGGGATAATCTATGAGCCAAGGAAGTATTCATGAAGTGAAATTAACTAGTGAATAAATTCGCATAGATTTGAGAAAGCCGTAAGCTCCTTGTGGACAATTTACGGGGAGAGAAAGAGGTGACATTTGTCAAGTTAATAAATCAGCCAGATAAATTATGCTTTTATGAATTATTCACTCGGCTCAACAGTTGCAAGGAAGAGAGAAGCATGCAGAGTGAAGTGCACTGAGGAGACTTTTTTCAAGGCGCTTCAAATGGGCTTGGCTGGCAGGAGGAGGCTTGGAAATCAATTGAGCATTTGATTCAGACAGTTCCAGGAGGAGCTCTGCTCACCCAAATAATTATGGGTTTGGTCAGCTCTAATAGAGAAGACAAAGAGGCGGGAGGAAAGATGGTGTCTTGAGACTTATTCAGCAGAGCTACTGCACGGCATGGGACGCGGGTGGTGCTGTGGGTTAAACCACGGAGCCTAGGACTTGCCAATCAGAAGCTTGGCGGTTTGAATCCCTGTGACGGGGTGAGCTCCCGTTGCTCGGTCCCTGCTCCTGCCAACCTAGCAGTTTGAAAGCATGTCAAAGTGCAAGTAGATAAATAGGTACCGCTCCGGCGGGAAGGTAAATGGCGCTTCCGTGCGCTGCTCTGGTTCACCAGAAGCGGCTTAGTCATGCTGGCCACATGACCCGGAAGCTGTACGTCGGCTCCCTTGGCCAATAAAGCGAGATGAGCGCCGCAACCCCAGAGTCGGCCACGACTGGACCTAATGGTCAGGGGCCCCTTTACCTTTACCTTACTGCACGGCATAGCCAGATGCATGAGTGGCAAACTCCTGTGGAAGTCCAAAGACATGGGGCACTGACAAATACCTGTAGGTCAAGGGGTGGGGCAATTTCTAGTGGGAAAGTGACAGGAAGAAACAACTTGGGGGAAGAGTATGGTGGGGAGGTGGGGGCTGCAAGTGAAAGAAAGATTGAGGTCCACTTAAAAAGAGCACCCACACTCCGTTTTGCAGATGCATGGCGATGGCCGACTTTACAAGATTCGGGTCTGCAACTGTAGAGTCACGAGCGCATATCCGCTAGGCTGTGCCACATTTTCATGGATTTTCTTGTTTTGAGACTCAGGCTTACAGATGCACACATAGTTTTCCATCAAGCAAGCTGCCTATTTTATCCACGAACCCTGGGGTTACTCCAAAATCAGAATCTCTTGATCTGTGTTTCTCAGAGGCTATCTGCAGCTACAACGGCTGCACACAGAAAACCTGCCGTATATAGCAAACTGCTTGATGTTGTAAGAAGAGGGCCTGCTAAAATCAAACAAATAAATAAATACATGCCCTAAGGTTATTGACCAGAACCCTGTGGAAGAAGTGCAGCTGTGAACATCAAGCATAAAACAGAATTATAATTTTTTTCTTTTGTAGTGGAAAGAAGGGCAGTGGCTTTCATAGGTAGCGTTGAAAGGCTGCTGGATTTTGCTCATGCCTTTGTTTCTCCCACCTCACCCTGGGCAATCTACGCTCTCCATTCTCGTGCTACACCCAGCCCACCCCCCCAATCTGCATTTCACAGGGCTGTGCTGCGTGTGATCTGGGATAAACACATCTTCTCAGCTCAGCTACTTGATTTCGCAATTACAAAAAGCAATGGGTTCCAGGTATAAAGCCCCAGAGGTGATATCAGTGTGTGGGTGTGGCAGGGAGGCAAGCATAAAGCCTTTTGTACAGCTTGGGCGAAATCAATGCATCAGTTAAAATCACACAATTATGATGAACGCTACGGGTGGTCGAAATAAAAAAATAATAAATTGTCCAGTAGCACCTTAGAGACCAACTAAGTTTGTTTTGGGTATAAGCTTTCGTGTGCATGCACACTTCTTCAGATCCACTGAAGCAGAAATCACCAGACCCTTACCCTTATATATAGTGGGAGGGTGGGGTATTTCTCAGAAGGGTAGTAGGAGATGGGTGATTGGTTCAATGGGTGTGGTAAACCTGTTGACGACTATGGGTAGTGCTCAACTAAGCTTTACTAAAGAGTAGAATGGTTGAAAATAATGGGTCTAACTAAGTAAATTGTGGGCCTAACTAACTAACCCTTTAATTTCAATGGGTCTGCATGGAGTGAAACTTAGCTGAATACCAAACTCGTTTGTTTTTCAGACAGCAAGAAGAAAAAGTTCCACTTGCTTAATCTCATGATCTGTCAGCAGATGGGAGTTGCTCCAGATCTGACTTCTTGTCCTCCAGGTGGCGTGGAGAACTTGGCCAATCATCTGGGGTGATGGAAGCTGTACATCAAGCATGTCCAAAGTCTGTTTTGGGGGCTTAATCCCCCAAAATCCTAATTTGAGGGCTCAACAACTTCAATCCTAAAAAAGTTCAACAACCTTGGTCGGCCCTTACGCATGTTCACTTCATCAAATATGTCCCTCTTTGAAAAAAGTTTGGGTACCCCTGCTGTACATAGTCCAAAACATCTGGACGGTACCTAGTTTGGAAAAGGCTGCTTCACTCCATATGCAATTTGGTATGAAGAAATGCAGGACGTCAACAGGGAAGGAAAAGGCTGCCACATCTTGATCCTCCTCAACATCTTGAAATATCCGGCTGAGTTTGGCCAGAAAGCTCTAGTGTTATCCTCTCCAGGAACAGCTTTGACTCTTTCTCCAACACACCATGGCCCTTCAGAGCACAGTGGATTTCTCTTGTTTTCAATGTCATTGAAAACTCTACAGTGCTCATTATTTTTGTCGTCTTGATGGGGCAAATCTAGCTCCAGCCCTGTGGCTATGAGACAACAGGGACATAGCCAGGAATTTGTTCAAAAAGGGATGATAAATTAAGCAAGCAAGCATCAGATTCTATAGTCCTGATATGACAAAGTGCCCTGTTTGAGATTGAATATGTGTTCATTTTTTAAAAAAGGGTTTTAGATTTGTTTTGGCTATATTCAAAATTCCCTGGGGCGTGTGACATATAAGGTTGTAGCATGGTGAATGTTCTGTGCTAGGACTCTACAGCATTTTGCATTTCTGAAATCCATTGGACACAGAATTTTAAATGGTGCTTCTGCGTGGGCTTGAGGTGCTACTGTCTTCACTGGCAATTGTCTTATCTTCTCCCAGTTTAGGGTCCATGGGGAAGCTGGGTTGATGCTGGGATTTGGTAACAGGACAGAGGTCACATCCCAGACATCAGGGTCATGGCAAGGCAAGGCCAGCAGTACAGCCAAATCTGGTAGGCACTGCCAGATCCACAGCAGGGCAGCACCCTGGAGAGCTCACAGCAGCCAGTGCTAGCTGGGATTCACTCAACAACAGCCGCTGACTCAACACCCTGCTTGTGTTTTCTGATGCTTTAGGAGCACTGGCTAGCTCAGAGGTCAGCAAACTGTTTCCCACAGACCTTGTGGGGAGCAGAACTATATTTTGAAGGGGAAAAATGAGTGAATTCCTATGCCCCACAAATAACCCAGAGATGCATTTTAAATAAAATGGCACATTCTACTCATGTAAAAACACACAGATTCCTGGACCGTCCACGGGCCGGACTGAGAAGGCGATTGGGCCAGATCTGGCCCCCGGGCCTTAATTTGCCTACCCATGGGCTAGCTTGAACAGCCTTATTAGACCCAC